GGCTCACACCTCTGGCGCTTCCTCAGCCCAGGGACTTGCTCCGCAGTCGGCCTCTCCCGGTCCCCAGCCTTCCTGCCTTACGCCGAAGGCGCGTGACAGCCTCTTTGGACTCGGCTCCGGCCCAGCTCCCGCTCCGCGGCCTTTGGAGGCCCCAAACGTCCTGAAGCCGGGCCCCACGGTGGCCTCTCCGGGCCCGGCTCCTGCCCTCCGACGGCGTCTCCACGCCCCAGACTTCCTGCAGCCAACCTCTCCAGGCCCAGCTTCTTCTCCCGACGGCCTCTGCAGGCCCACGCTGGCCTCGAGTCGGCCTCTCCAGGGCTCGCTCCTGCTCCCGCCGGCTCCTGCGGGCCCAACTCGTCGCCGAGTCGGCCTCCGCCGGCCCAGCTCCTGCCTCTCCATGGCCTCTCCAGCTGCCAGGCTTCCTCAGATCAGCCTCTCCAGGCCCAGCTCCTCCTGCCTGCCAGTGTCCTCTTGAGGCCCAGCCGCGCTCACGCCTCTGGGCGGCCTCCTCAGGCCCCGGACTTGACCTCCGGTCGGCCTCGCCAGGCCCAGGCTCCTGTCTCCCGAAGGCCTGCACAGGCCCAGCCTCTGCCTCCCAGTGGACTCTCCACGCCCAGCTGTCGCCTCACTGTGGCCTCCCCAGGCCAGTACTCCTCTTGCCTTTCGGCAGTTCCTCCTGGCCCCGCTCCTGCCTCCCGGCGGCCTCGTTAGGAACGGCTCATTCGTCATGGGGAACGGCCTTTCCAGGCCCAGCCTTTGGCTTTTGGCGGCCTCTCCAGGCCCCGAACTTCCTCAGGCCGGCCCCTCCAGGCTCAGTTGCAGCCTCCCGGCCTCCCGGCCGGGCCCAGCTCCTCCTGCTCCCGGCTGCGGCCGCGGACCCAGCCCCAGCCTCACGACAGCCTCTTTGGACTCGGCTCCGGCCCAGCTCCCGCTCCGCGGCCTTTGTAGGCCCCAAACGTCCTGAAGCCGGGTCCCACGATGTCCTCTCCGGGCCTGGCTCCTGCCCTCCGACGGCGTCTCCACGCCCGAGACTTCCTGCAGCCAGCCTCTCCAGGCCCAGCTCCTCCTGCTGGCGGCCTCTGCAGGCCTACGCTGGCCTCAAGTCGGCCTCTCCAGGGCCCACTCCTGCTCCCGGTGGCCCCTGCGGGCCCAACTCGTCGCCCAGTCGGCCTCCGCCGGCCCAACTCCTGCCTCTCCGCGGCCTCTCCAGCTGCCAGACTTCCTCAGGTCAGCCTCTCCAGGCCCTGCTGCTCCTGCCTGCCACTGACCTCTTCAGTTCCAGCTGCGCTCTCGCATCTCGGCCGCCTCCTCAGGCCCAGGACTTGACCTCCAGTCGGCCTCGCCAGGCCCAGCCTCCTGCCTCCTGAAGGCCTGCACAGGCCCAGCCTCTGCCTCATAGCAGAGTCTCTACTGCCTTTCCAGGCCCAGTTTTTTCCTTTTTGCTGGCTATGTAGGCCCAGAACTGCCCGAAGTCTGCCTTTCCTTTTCCAGTTGCTGCCTCTCGGTGTCCTTTCTGGCCCAGCTCTTCCTCCTGGGTGCATCTGCAGGTAATGTTTTGCCTCACAACAACCTCTTTTGATTCAGCTCCTGTGCAGTCTCTTTCGCCCTTGTAGACCCAAAACTTTCTCAAGTCCAGCCCTCCAGTTCCACTGCCTTCCTCGTGGCAGCCTAAAGAGGCCCAGGTTTCGCCCAACAATGGTTTCTCCAGGCAGCCTCAACAGACCCAGCTCCTGCCTCACTCTGACATCTATAGGCCCTGCTGCTGCCTCTCATTGTCCTCACCTCGCCCATCTTTTTCCTTATGCCTGCCTCCCATATCCCAGCTCCTGTCTCACTGTCGTCCCTGTCATACCAGCTCCTGTCTCACGGTGGCCTCTTGTGGCCCATCTTCGGCCTCATAGTGACAACTTGAGCCCATCTTCTGCCTTGTCATGGTCTTTTCTGGCTTTGCTCTTGCCTCGCAGTCACCTCTTCTGGATCCATCTTTTTAGTCTTTGATGGTCAACAGCATCAAGGAGCCTAATGCTTCCCTGGACTCTTAATTGTTGGTAACTTCACAGCAGAGTACCCTAGCAAAACACCTCCCTCTTCTTTTAACCTTGACAGTGCATTTGTTACAAATTTACAATAAATTCTGCCTGCGTGGTTTCATACTGATTTTTGTGTTATTTAGTGTCTCATCATTTTTCTTGTTTTCTTTGGGTGGGAATGGGAATGAGCCTCTGCTTCGGCCCTTTTTCTTTGCTCTGGACATGGTAACTTCTCACTTCATGTCTTCTATATTTTTATTTTTTACAGTTATCTTTTTTGTTTTGTTAGGGTCTTGCTCTGTCACCCAGGCTGGAGTGTAGTCATGTCACCCAGGCTGGATTGTAGTCATGTGATCATGGTTCACTGCAGCCTTAGCCTTTTGGCCTGAAGTGATTCTCCCAACTCCACATCTTGAGTAGCTGATACTACAGGCACGTGCCGCCATGCCTGGCTAATTTCTGATTTTTTTCTGAGAGGTTGGTTCTCACTGTGTTGCTCAGGCTGTTCCCAGACTTTTGGACACAAGCAGTCCTTTTACCTGAGCCTCCCAAAGTGCTGAGATTACAAGCATGAGCCTCCATGCCTGGCCTGCTATTTGCTTGTCATGAACTATTAAGAATTTACTTTTTGATTAATATACTATTTCTGTATAGATTTATGTATATATAGATATTTTGAGTTTTTCATGGATACCAATTTTTTCCCTCTTTTTGAGACAAGGTACCACTTTGTCATTCAGGATGGAGTGTGGTGGTATGATCCCGGCTCACCACAACCTCTTCTTTCTTGGCTTAAGTGATCCTCCCCCCTCAGCCTGCTGAGTAGCTGGGACCCCAGGTGTGAGCCACCATACCCAGGTAATTTTTATATTTCTTTTAGAGAGGGGTGTCTCACCATGTTTCCCAGGCTGGTTTCAAACTCCTGGGCTCAAGCAGTCCTCCTGCTTCAGCCTCTTGCAGTGCTGGGATTACAGGTGAGAGCCACCACATCTGGCCTACCATTCTCTTTTCATGGATCATTAAGAATTTACTTTATGCCAGCACAGTAACTCACGCCTGTAAATCCCAGCACTTTAGGAGGACAAGGTGGATGGATTACGAGGTCAGGAGTTCAAGACCAGCCTGGCCAAGATGGTGAAACCCCGTGTCTACTAAAAATACAAAAATTAGCCAGGTGTGGCGGCAGGCACCTATAATCCCAGCTACTCTGGAGGATGAGGCAGGAGAATTGCTTGAACCTGGTGAGAAATAGGTGCCAGTGAGCTGAGATCATGCCACTGCACTCCAGCCTGGGCAACAGAGTGAGACTACATCTCAAAAATTCTTTTACTGTTTTATTAGTATAATGTAAATATATAAATATGTGTGTGTGTATATTCATATGTGAATATATGTGTTTATGTATTTTCATAGCGTGCGCACACACACACATTGTGAAAGAGATATTTGAATACCTAGAAATTGATAAACTTCTTCCAGGTTTTGAAACCACCCTTAGCACAAACACAAAAGAAGTACAAACTATCATTATTAATGACCATGGACCAAGATGACCATGAGTCAGTACTTTGCACCTCAACCACCTTCCAGCAGAGCATCTCAGAGGGCTGGATATATCTGAACATCACACCCTTTCACATAGACTAGGATGGTTTGTATCTATTACCTCTTTTAAGACCTCATTGTGATCCTTGTTAAAGTGAAATCAAACTATTTCTCAAACCACAGAGATACAGAAGAACAGCTTTGGTCAGGAAATAGGTATTTCATTTGGTTTGTCATGACAAGCTCCTGGCCTAGTCAGATGGAATATAGCAGAAATGTGTGTGTGTGTGAACATTCTTGTGCACAGATGTGGAGGTGGAAGTAGTGGATTGAATTTGATGAAATCAGCAGGGGACAGGCTGCTGGGAAGAGGGCACTTGTTTTGGCAGCAGCTGTGTAACTCTAGAATGAACAAAGGCTTGTAATCCACAGTTTTGTCTCCTGAAAAATAAAGATTGTAATTCCTGCCTTGATATGTGGACTAGGTGACTTGCTGTATGCAGAATATCTAGTATATAATAGGTGCTGAATTAATACTACTTTCTGTAGCTCATTCTTAATCACTGCTTAACTTTAAAAAGTTTAGGATGACTACTACTTTTGTAAAAATTATTTGTAATTATTACATAAAGTCGAAGTCCTATAGAAAAGCACAAAGCAGGCCGGGTGCTATAGCTGATACCTGTAATCCTAGCACTTTGGAAAGGCAGGGTAGGATTACTCAAGGCCAGGAGTGTGAGGACAGCATGAGGAACATAGCAAGATCCCATCTCTATAAAAAATTAAAAACCAATTATGGTAATATGGACCTGTAGTCCCAGCTACTGGGGAGGCTGAGGCAGGTGGATCACTAGAACCCAGGAGTTTGAGACTGCAGCCTGGGTAACAGAGTGAGACCCTGTCAGACAGAGGGAGTGGGAGAGAGAGAGAGAAGAGAGAGAGAAAAAAGTACAAAGAAGCA